GCCATACAAGCTGAACTTCGCATTGCGATACTTGGGATTTTCCAGCTTGCTTTGTTGAAACTTGAGTGGCTACCCTTGCATGGTTTTCTTCAGACTCGTCACAGTGACATCGTAGGACTCCGAGGACCATGGGAAAGACGTGAAAAGCTCAAAATTATCCACCAAACGCATGTAATCCGGATAGATTCTGGTTGGCAGATCTCTGGCTAGCAGACAAGAGTAGACCAAAAACAAAGCATCCAACTTCACACGGTCCATCACATCTTCATTCTCTTCTTGAGGGGTCGTACCTAGCTCAAAAACTTTCACCTTCAACTTGTGATATGTGACTTCATCGCAGCCACCAAAATACTTGTCCACAATGCCCTGCCGTGATTCATCATGATCATATGTGGGCCATTATTCTTGAGCTTTCACACCTGTAATCCTCTTGAAGTCAGCGTACGTGAAATTCATCAGCTTCCCATCAACCGCAAACCACAATTCATCCTCAGGCTGCTCACACACAAGGCGCAACATCAACAAATGGATGAGCTGCCCTGAGAATTGGAAGTGTGGACAAGCAAGTAAATGGCCCCATGGGGTTTTCGTTATCAATGTCATTTGCTTAATTGTTAGGCATTGGCTATGCAGCTCCAAAGCATCATTCAAGGCTGAGTGTACGGAGTATTGGGCAGGAAAGTAATCTTTTAGGGGAATTTGAAGTTCCATCCTGAAATATACAAATATTTCATTCAAGGTCATATACACACAACTCATTTACACCACACAGACATGTCATGTACACCATACAGACAAACCTAAAATATACAAATATATAAGAGTATTGTACAGACATCTCAACAAATGTCATACAGACACCTCTAGAGTTCACAAATATCAGAACAAACGATACAAACATCTTAACCAAGCCCACACAGACATCTCAGGAACACCATTTACACAATACAGACAAACCTGAGCTTCAAAAACATATAAGCACAAACAATACTGACGTTTTTACAATAAAGTTTACAACTACAGAATTTACAATAAAATTGAAAAAATGAGATACAGACTTGTACAAACATCTCATTTACACAATACAGCCGCAAATGCGATACAGACAAGTACAAAATTTACAATAAAATTGAAAAAAATTACATGCAAACTTTTTTGGGAAGTTGGTTTCGCATAAAAACCCACTCTCATATTTCTAACACATACATGTATTGAAAACCATATACAAAAGTCTAAAATGCAAAAATTAGGAGCTTATAATAAATTTAGGAAGTTGGTTTTGTAGAAGTTTACCTTTGTGCCATTTCACTCAGTGATGTGTGCACCATTTTCTTCGATAGCACCGTTACCCTACCCGTGTTGATTTTCGTTGGCCTGAAGAAGATGTACGGGCGTATGGGTTTCGGATGGGTTTCGGATGGGTTCGTGGGTTCAACTTTACGGCTGGACGGAGTTACTCGAGCGCAGGTCTGGCGTTTCGTCGGTTGACCGAAGGGGTGGGTTTGGTGAGTTCTTAGTTCAAATGGGAGGAAGAGAAGATTGGGAGAGTGGGGATTCGGGAAAGAGAAGGGAGTCTGGGAGAGAGTGTGAATGGGTGGGCAGCGGGTATTTTGAAAAAGAAATGCACGTGGAGTTCAAAAATGTGGAGGGTTATTTCAGTTTGAAGGGGAGTGGGGAGGATTAATTTAAAAGTGGGGTGGGTTAGAAAGAGGGAGTGGGGCTTTTTAAGATGTATACACTGTCGTGTAACCCAGCGTGTACACATAGCATTTTTGAATGTGTATATCCCGCACATGCATTCGAGTACAAAAATGATGAATTCTGTTACGCACGGTACCAATAAGATCAACCAGCTACTAGCTATCCACTTTATCTTACTAATCAAGTGTTACACGTCTCAACACCACATTATGATACCATCTATTTACTTGTTGGCCAAGTATTTTCTTTTGTAGTATAAATATCACCTTCCATCCTATGGAAAGGGATCCGTTTTTTCTACGTATAGCTTATTGTTACTCTGTCGGAATTCCTTCCCACTTTTACTTAGCACTTTCAGCTTCTCCCCTTCGTCGGATTCCACCTACCCCAGGGTCAGATATCCATCACACCTCGGTAGTCATAGTGATCCCCTCACCCTTGATGTTCTTGTAATTCAATCTCTATTCGGAATAATAATTACCACATGATATGTATTAAGATTGTTTTATTCTTAGTTTTATAGTGTATGTCATTGTGTCATATGTAGATGCCCATATAGATAGGTGGAATTGCTCATCCCAGATGCCCACACACCCGACCCGATAGAATGGTGGAGGAATAAATCACGGTATAGTAATAAATAATTTTTTTGTGAGGTGGTTCAGAGTTTAGTGTGCATAGGGAGTCACCACATTGGATGCAAATCATGTTACTCTCAAACGGATGTTGTCGGCACTTGAATCCGAGACTACAATCCTAGAATCTCACTCAGTTGTCACCGTTGAACTACCCGTATACGTCCAGTTTTTACTTGACCTAATTTGATGATGTGGTGTCATCGTAAATTCGTAATATATATTGAAAACATAAAAGGTCATACATTGAAGACTCCTACTCTTGAGTCTAGACCATTCAAGACAAGAATCGGTTTTTATTTCCTGAAATGGCATTTTACTTCTTGTGTTTTTTTGTACTCGATCATATAGTAAGAGTCTTACTCCGTATTTATTTTGGTAGTTGATGACTTGATGCAGACGAAGTTACACTGAGTTAAAATTTTAGGTATTTCATCATGACTAAGGATGGCAATGGGGGTGGGGGCCCGTGGGGAACCGCCCCGTGGGGGTGAGTGGGGTGAGGCGGGTATGGGGATGGGGAATTATTTCCTCCCACTTAAATATGGGGCGGGTGATATGTTATGCACCTCCCGCACCGTCCCCATCCCGTCTCCCGTATATATACACATATTAATAACAATAACAATAACAATAACAATAACAATAACAATAACAATAACAATAACAATACTACTACTACTAATAATAATACTAATACAGAGTAATTAAAATATCTAATTCTTGTTTAATAACTCAGCTATCTTGTAAAATTGGTTATCAAAATCATAAAGTAAAATGAATTTGGGAAAGGTATAAAGTGATACCCCGTATTAGTTTAAACGTGATATAAAAACTAGAATGTATAGATTGATGGCTATCAAACATTACCAAATCAAACAACAACCTTTTATCCCTTTTACTTTTATCATCTTTTCAATCACTAAAGTCTAACAATTATAAAAAAAGTCTAGAAAAGTATCTGTCCACTTAAGTATCTTTCCATGTTTGGCATGCATAAATGTATAACTGTTATATGTTTGACACACTTAACTGGAAACATAAAAGTATCCTTGCAGTTAAGTGTGTCAAACATACCGTTATGAACTTTTTAATAACTGTTAATTTTTAGTGATTGAAAAGATTTTATAAAGAAAATGTCGTAGCTGTTTGGTAAAAAGCCGACTGTTTGATTTGGCTCTGTTTGGTATACGAGCTGTTAGGACTAATTAATGCTAGAAGCTACGAACTTATCTGAGATGCTACTCATTGTAGCATCTCAAAAAAGATCTTTTATTTTTATAAAAACTCTTAAAAATTGGCGTGCAAAACATATAACTATAAGCTTTTAAAGACTATTTAAATAGTATAAAAGCTAGAAGGCAGGAACTTATGTCCGCCAAACATAGCCATATGTGCAATCTAAAATACGTTTTGTCTGTACAGACAAAAAAACCTACACAAACATGTGTAAAAATGTGTACACAAAAAAGTGTTTTCATCTATTCTTTTTTTCGTACTCGATCATACAGTAAAGTCTCGGTCTGTATTTATTTTGGTAGTTGATGACTTGATTGATGACTTGATGCGGACTAACTTATACTGAGTCAAAAAATTAGGTATGTCATCATGAATGCAGACTTGGGAGTTTGGGGGGACACGTTGACCCAGTGAAACAATAGATGGAATTGAAGGAGTACTTTTTTATATTCCCATCTATTTCTTTTCAAATGTTAAGCTATACCGAGTACTACGTTCCTATTATAACTTCCAAATAGATTTGACACACAATTTAAGATAATAGGTATTGTGTGGTGGAGAGTTGCCCAAAAGAAAGAAAAATATATAAGAAATGTTGTGAATCACAAATTTTTTACCAAAAAAAGAAAATAGAAGTTTTAATAAGAACAGACGAAAAAGGAAAGTTAAAAGTTATAATAGGAACGGAGAGAGTAGTTTTTTAGGATGTTTTTAGTTGTCTCTAATTTGGTGGTCTGGTCTAGTCTGATATGAACTAGTCTGGTCTGATCTAGTTTCTTTGTATTTTTATAACTATCCAAGTCTACTCTGTTCTGAATTGGTCTGGTCTGGTCTGATCTAGTCTATTTTGAACTGATCTGATCTGGTCTGATCTGATCTGGTTTGGGAGGAATTATAGTCAAAGTAAAAACATCCTTTCTCGTACTCCCTCTGTCCCCAATAATTTTGCTAAGTTTGACCGGCACGAGAAATAATATAGTAAAAACTATATGGTTGAGGTTTGTGAAGAGGAGAGAGAATGAACTGGAACCATGAATTGTTTACTCTAAAGAGAAAGTAACAAAGTTAATGAGACATCCAGAAAAAGAAAGTCGACAAAGCTATAACGGAATTGGGTTGGAATGGTCAATGGTGGACCACGGCATGAGTTGTCAGTCACTTTAGATGGGAGATGGACTCTTTTTCAAAATTCAAACATACCGTATAACTGGTTCGGACTCATACTAGTATTAAACAAAAAATTGTTGTAAAATCCTGGAAATGACAAGTGTGAATTGTTCATCCTTGTCATCAATCCAGAAATTATGTTTAATCCTTGTAACCTAGTTAGAACAGATGGCTCAAATTGTTATTGCCACCAAATCTGTAGATTCATCCCTTAAGTGACTAATCATCAAGTTCAAACAGTATAAATAGGAGTTTGATGAGGCATTGTAAATTCATTCAGAAATTCAGAAATTCTCAGATATTAAGAAGAAGATATTTAGAGCTTTTATTAATATATCTATCTCTTAAATTTACTCTTCATATTCTTCATTTCACAATACGTTATCAGCACGAATCTGCTCAAAAGATCTTCAAGAAATCATCTCCTCCCGCAGGTATAAACATTAATATTTATACGTAGGTTGTCTATGTTTTTAACAAAATAAATACTTAATGTTCTAATACAGATAACATATACGTATCTTCAAAGCTTTACTCGCCTGGATATTAATATTTTTTTAGATAAGTATGAATGATATAATTGGAATAATATGATATAATCAGAATACCTTCAAGGCTTCATTTTTCTTCCCTTCTATCTTCATACATAATCCAGTCTTGTAAAATAATGTAGCTCGAGAATAGTGGAGTAATATGTAAAGGAAGGATGTATAGTGAAAGAAGATACGTAGTGATAAAAAAAACGAGAGATATAGATGAGAGATAGAGATGTGGCCTAATTTTAGATGATACAGAGTAAAACATACGGAGTACTGGTAAAAGCTAGCACAGAAAGTAATAATGAAAGAAAGTCACTCCAGTTAGAAATAAAATTGAATGGTGAGGTAGTTATGGTATCAAACACCTTATCAAGATATGAACAGATCACATGCAATACTTTTCTGTGTATAAATAATTAAATAATATAATAAAACAAAAGTTGCCGACTGTGCAGTCAGCTTATAGGACGGCAGATTTGAGGATTTCCAATGATAGTCACGGGAGAACTAGAGAAGTTTCATGTATTATTAAATAAACAAATACAGAGTATTAAATAAACCATCACGAGAGGTACTTGAAGCTCCTCCACATGCTGAAATATTTCATGGCCCCACTTCTGAAATTTGTGATGCGCCAGTTACTAGATTTTTGGACTCACCAAATAATTCTGAGTTATCCCAATGATTAAATAAAATTCATGTAAATAAAGGTGGATATTAAAATAAATACGGAGTATTTAAAAAATTCATTCAAATTAGTTATCAACTACCGTAGCTACCATAAACAGCTTCTCATTTTTTTCACCAGAAGTTAAAATAAGTATAGATACGAAGTAAGTACATACACCAATAACTATTAAGATTGATTGGTAACATCACAAAACGAAAATAGTCATTCTTACTAATAAACTTTATATTAAAAATTTCTTGTAGTCCAATGGCAAATATAAGCAAAAGAGAATTCGACGTTCTTGACATGTCTGGTCAAAAATACCTGGAATGGAAAGTTGATGCTTTAGCACATTTGAAGGCTAATGGTCTTGAAGACACCATTGAGGCTGATAATCAATCATCGTCCCAGGATAAAGCGAAAGCTATAATTTTTCTCCGTCACCATCTCCATGAAAGTCTCAAATCTAAATATCTTTTGGTTGATGACCCAAAAGAATTATGGAACAATTTACAAGAGAGGTATGGCCACCAACAAAAGGTCCTTTTGCCTAAGGCTCAGTATGACTGGATCAATCTAAGATTCCAGGACTTTAAATCAATCAGTGACTATAATTCTGCTATGTTTCAAATAACATCTAAATTAAAGTTATGCGGACAAAAAGTCACTGATGCTGATATGTTGGAGAAAACCTTTTCTACTATGCATATCTCTAACATGCTGCTCCAACAACAATATAGAGAAAAGGGGTTTAAAAAATACTCCGACTTAATATCAGTATTATTGGTAGCTGAGCAAAATAATGACCTTTTGATGAAAAATCATAATCTGAGACCCACTGGTTCTAGTCCTTCGGTTTATGGTCCATCTGGCCATAATTTAGCCACTGAATCAAATGCAACATACAGTGACAGTAGAAGGCATTTTAAACGTGGGCATTTTAATGGTCATAAAAATAAGTCACACCGAGAATATAAACAGGTCAATAGACAAAATTATAAGGGCAAGGGCAAACAAAAAGCCCATCAAATAAATCGCCCTCCAAAAACCTCGGTAAAGACGACTTGTTATAAATGTGGCATGACAGGGCATTGGGCTAACAAATGCCGCACTGCAAAGCATCTGGTGGAATTATTTCAAGCTTCCATGAACTTGAACAACGGCAAAAATATGGAAGCTAATTATGTCAACGACATGACTCCACCTCTGCCAAAATTTGACGTGTCCGACTTTTTCGCGGATGATGCCATTATGGACGATGCTTTTGCAATAAACCAAAATTTCACAAAATAAAATATTAGACTCTGATCCTTATGTTGTAACATATTAGTTTTATGTATTTTTTTTCTTTCTTCCCTTTTTATTTTTAAATAAATGTGTGTAATATATGTACTTTGTGTTAAATTATATGCACAATTTGTGATCAAGCTTATGTTTATTTACACATTTTGAAGATATGGATCACTCAAATGATAAAGAGCTATGTCTGATAGACAACGCCACAACGCACACCATTTTGAGAAATAAAATATATTTTTCTCAAATGACTTTAGTTGAAGCTAAAGTCAATACAATATCAGGTGTTGCGAAGCTCATTGAAGGCTCTAGGAAAGCATATGTGATGCTACCTAATGGGACAAAAATAATTATAAATGACGCTTTATACTCCAGCAAATCGTGAATAAATTTATTGAGCTTTAAAGATATGCGTCAAAATGGTTATCACATAGAAACCATGAATGAAAACCAAAAGGAATATCTTTGTCTCACGACAACTAAATCTGGCGCTAAATATTTTTGTGAAAAAATGCCAGCATATTCCTCAGGACTATATTTCACATATATTAGTCCATTCGAAATAAATTTGGTTTCTAACACAAAGTTAGATGATCGGAAAACATTCATGTTGTGGCATGACCGTTTAGGTCACCCAGGCCAAGTAATGATGCATAAAATCATTAAGACTTCACTTGGACACCCATTAAAGAATATCAGGGTTCCAGTATCAAGTGATTTTCCTTGTAAGGCCTGTTCTCTTGGCAAAATGATCATCAAGCCTTCAATGAACAAAATTGCAACTGAATCACCTGCATTTTTAGAAAGGATTCAAGGACATATTTGTGGGCCGATAGCCCCACCATGTGGACCATTTCGATATTTTATGGTGTTGATTGATGCTTCAACACGTTGGTCACATGTTAGTCTTTTATCGACTAGAAATTTAGCATTTTCTAAACTCCTTGCTCAAATCATACGATTAAGAGTTCATTTTCCGGATCATTCTATAAAGAGAATCCGACTTGACAATGCAGGAGAATTTACATCCCAATCATTTAATGACTATTGTATGTCGATTGGGATTGATGTGGAGCATCCTGTTGCTCATGTCCATACACAAAATGGTCTTGCTGAATCTTTGATTAAACGATTACAATTAATCGATAGACCATTATTAATTAAGTGTAATTTACCTTCATCAGCTTGGGGACATGCTATTTTACATGCAGCAAATTTAATTCGGCTTAGACCGATTGCATATCATGAATATTCTCCAATGCAATTAGTTACTGGACAAGAGCCAAACTTAGCACACATTAAAATATTTGGTTGTGCTGTTTATGTTCCGATTGCTCCACCTTATCGTACAAAAATGGGTCCTCAAAGAAGGTTGGGAATTTATGTTGGATTTGAATCTCCCTCAATAATCAAATATCTTGAACCGATGACTGGTGACTTATTCACCGCACGGTTCGCTGACTGTCATTTCAATGAGACAGTATTCCCAACCTTAGGGGGAGAAACTAATAAATCGGACCCAAATACGAAAGAAATAACATGGAATGCAACATGATTATCACATCTTGACTCAAAATCAAATATATGTGAGAAAGAGGTGAAAAAGATAATCCATTTACAAAATGTTGCAAATCAGTTGCCTGATGCATTCACAGACACAAAGAAAGTGACAAAGTCACATATTCCTGCCATGAATGCCCCTGCCAGAATCGAAATCCCAACAGAGAATTTTGAAAAATATTTTGTAAATGATTCTTCTATACGCAAAAAGCGTGGCAGGCCACTTGGATCGAAAGATATAAAACCAAGAAAAACTAAAAGGCAGGAATCGATCTGTGATGCCAAAGATGTTCATCCTTCTGAACAAGAAAATGAACAATTTGAAAATATTGGCATAGAAAATGATATTGACAAAACAAATATCTCAAATGATGATCCAACTTCCTTAAATGAGGAAGATATTCCAGATAATGATAGAAACGTTGATAATTATGAAATTTCAATAAACTACGTTTCTACTGGAATGCAATGGAATCGTAAAGATATTGATATTAATGAGATATTTGTCTATGCCGTTGCCACAAATGTTATGAATGAAAACAATGACAATGAGCCAACATCAATAGAAGAATGTCGGAAACGACACGATTGGCCAAAATGGAATGAAGCAATTCAGGCTGAATTGATCTCACTTGAAAAACGTGATGTTTTTGGACCGATAGTCCCTACGCCAAAAGGCGTAAAACCAGTAGGCTTTAAATGGGTATTTGTGCGTAAACGCAATGAGAAAATTGAAATTGTAAGATATAAAGCCCGACTTGTTGCCCAAGGGTTTTCTCAAATACCGGGAATTGATTATGAAGAAACCTATTCTCCAGTAGTTGATGCATCTACATTAAGGTTTCTCATTGGCATGTATGTTTTTGAAAGGCTGCAAATGCGTCTAATGGATGTACTAACTGCATATTTATACGGTTCACTCGATACAGACATTTATATGAAAGTTCCCGGAGGATTTAAAATGCCTGAAGCTTATAGCTCGAAACCTCGAGAAATGTTTTCCATTAAACTACAAAAGTCATTGTATGGACTAAAACAATCTGGACGAATGTGGTATAATCGTCTCAGTGAATACCTTCTTAAGTAAGGATATAAGAATGATCCAATTAGTCCATGTGTTTTCATCCGGCGATTAAATTCGGGATTCGCCATAATTGCAGTATATGTTGATGACTTAAATATTATTGGAACTCCCGATGAGATTGAAAATACTACAAAATATCTTATGAAAGAATTTGAAATGAAAGATCTAGGGAGAACCAAATTTTGTCTCGGACTTCAAATTGAGCATTTGAAGAATGGAATTTTCATCCATCAATCCAATTACACCGAGAAAGTTTTGAAGAGATTCTATATGGACAAAGCTCATCCTTTGACTTCACCAATGGTGATTCGATCTCTCAACATACACGATGATCCATTCCGTCCCCGAGAAGATGACGAAGAAATACTTGGTCCCGAAGTACCATATCTGAGTGCTATTGGAGCTTTAATGTATTTAGCTAATAATACTAGACCAGATATTGCATTCTCCGTAAATTTATTAGCTAGGTACAGTTCATGCCCAACAAGACGTCATTGGAACGGGATCAAGCACATATTCCGTTATCTACGTGGTACAGTTGATCTTGGCTTATTCTACCACAAAGATGAAAAAGCTGCTTTAATCGGATATGCAGACGCTGGATACTTATCAGATCCTCAAAAGGCGAAATCACAAACCGGGTACGTATTTACTTATGGTAACACCACAATCTCATGGAGATCTATGAAGCAGACATTGACAGCTACATCGTCAAATCATTCTGAGTTAATTGCACTATATGAAACCGGAAGAGAATGTGTGTGGCTACGATCTATGATCCAACACATCCAAAATGAATGCGGTATGAAGTCTATTACTTGTCATCCTACTGTGATCTACGAAGACAACACTGCGTGCATAGCTCAGATTAAAGAAGGCTACATCAAAGGAGACAGAACAAAACACATATCACCAAAGTTCTTCTCTACTCATGATCTCGAGAAAGAAGGGACGATCAACATTCAACAAATCAGATCCAGTGAATATCCAGCCGATCTCTTCACCAAATCTTTACCCCCGAAGAAGTTCATGGAACTTGTACAGAAAATCGGCATGCGACGTCTTCATAATTTATACTAAATTCAGGAGGAGTATTTGAATGCACTACACTCTTTTTCCCTTCATCAGGTTTTTATCCCACTGGGTTTTTCCTGATAAGGTTTTTTTAACGAGACAGTACATCCAAATACAACGACATTATAAGTCGTAATTTTTACCCCTTAATTTTCACAATAAGTTTTTAAAATAATAGACAACTATTCAAGGATGAACATTCAAAGGGGAGTGTTGTAAAATCCTGGAAATGACAAGTGTGAATTGTTCATCCTTGTCATCAATCCAGAAATTATGTTTAATCCTTATAACCTAGTTAGAACAGATGGCTCAAATTGTTATTGCCACCAAATCTGTAGATTCATCCCTTAACCGACTAATCATCAAGTTCAAACAGTATAAATAGGAGCTTGATGAGGCATTGTAAATTCATTCAGAAATTCAGAAATTCTCAGATATTAAGAAGAAGATATTTAGAGCTTTTATTAATATATCTATCTCTTAAATTTACTCTTCATATTCTTCATTTCACAATAAAAATTAAATTTTCTTAGAGATTTTTTGAATAATACATAATATAAAAACTAGAATGTATAGATCTATGGATATCAAAAATTACCAAATCAAACAACAACCTTTTATCCTTTTTACTTCAATCACTAAAAGCTAACAATTATAAAAAGTCTATAAGAATATGTTTGGGAGTTTGGAGGGAAGAGAAAGAGAAAGCTTTGGAAGTATGTTGTTGGAGAGGAAGACGATGAAGTTTTTCTTTGTATTTGGGAGTAATAAATTTGGAAGAAGAGAGTTTTTGAATGAATTATAATTAAAATCACTTTGAAATATGACGAATTCAAATAACTGAACTGATATTTATATTTAATTGAACTTAAATTACCATTTCGTTAATTGATGAAGGACATGGCCCAAGGATCCCCGACCCGCATACTTCCACAACTGCAATCACACCCAACAGGCCCAAATGGGCCAAGCCCAGCAAATGGAGCTCCAGGCAGCCCACAATACGTAAGGGGGTGCCTTCGGCCCCATGACCGAAGGCCACCATTGACAGGGTTGAGCTCAGAAACATCACAGGAGAACAAGGCTTGAAAACCAAGCCTTCGGCATAGAGAGCCCTCGGTATTGGGAGGCCCCCGGTTAGAAGAGCCTTCGGCCCAACACCCTTCAGCCGAAGGCACTTCCCTCGACAGGATATCCTCTCCACATGTGCCTGAATCACCATACCAATTACTCCCTCCGTCCCTAAATTTACTTCCAACTTTCCCTTTTCGTCCATCCCAAAAAGAACTTCACTTTCCCTTTTTGGCAAAGAATTAGTGGTTCACAGCATTTCTCTCTCTTCTGCACAACTCTCCACCACATAATTCTCACTTTCTTAATCACCGTGCCACTTTAATTTGGAAGAACATTTAGGGACGGAGGGAGTACAACATCGCATCCAACCACCGCATTTAATGCGGCCACATGCAAATGCCGATGCCACCCCGATTGAGTTGACCCCTTGACCATCAGATTATTGACACGTGTCCCTATTTAGCATTTGTTGCTGCTATAAATAGCAGCCCGTTTTCCATTGTAAATCATCACAAATTCACATACTGAAGACATATTCTCTCTCTACTTATTGCTCTGACTTCTCTCTAAGTTATTCCCGCAATAATCCCTCGGATAAGCTACCCCCAGACACTATCCAACATTAATTATCTTTCAAAACCCTCCAAATTGAGGGAGCTCAGAAATTAAGCATTTAGAAGGTTTTAGAGGGTCACAAAAGCCCTCCAAAACCATCCCCTCCAATTATATAAACTCCCAAGTCCCAAACATGAAAAGGGGGGTCATAAACCCCCATCAACCTTCCCCTCCCCTCCAAAACCCAACTCCCAAACACACCCTAAGGGTATGTTTGGGAGTTTGAAGGGAAGGGGAGGGAAAGGTTTTGAAGGTCAATCATTGGAAGGGAAGGGGAAGGAAAGGGTTGGAAACCCTTCTTCTTGTTTGGGAGTATCAAATTTGAAGATATAATGATGGATAGTCTACCCGGGGGTATATATCCGAAGGGTTTGTAACACCCCGACCCCGTAGGACCCGAGGTAGTTACTCCAGACCTCTAGTACTGTCCTCACAAACCGCCACTAGCCTTTTCCGCGCACTTTGTTCTCACTCGTGCGCGCCCTGAGAAACTTCCCAGGGGGTCACCCATCCCAAGACTACTCCCGTGCAAGCACGCTTAACTTTGGAGTCCTTGGGTGATGAGCTCCCTTAAAAGGAGATGCACCTCTGTTGGTATGAGTAGTACTATTAATCCTTTTAAATTAAATCTCAAGTGTTACAATCACCCCCACTTAGGAACGCAACGTCCTCGTTGCGCCCATAAACCAATCTCAAATCTCAATCAAATCCCAGAATCTTTTCCCCTGCTAAGTGCCCGCCCGATATCCAACGGATCAGTACACTGTCGCAGGGTTGCTCTGATACCACTTGTAACACCCCGACCCCGTAGGACCCGAGGTAGTTACTCCAGACCTCTAGTACTGTCCTCACAAACCGCCACTAGCCTTTTCCGCGCACTTTGTCCTCACTCGTGCGCGCCCAGAGAAACTTCCCAGGGGGTCACCCATCCCAAGACTACTCCCGTGCAAGCACGCTTAACTTTGGAGTTCTTGGGTGATGAGCTCCCTTAAAAGGAGATGCACCTCTGTTGGTATGAGTAGTACTATTAATCCTTTTAAATTAAATCTCAAGTGTTACAGGGTTATTGCTGAGAATAACTTAGAGAGAAGTCAGAGCTCAAGTAAGTAAGAGGGAGAGTGTATTCAGTATGAATGTCGTGGTTACAAATGGGTAAATGGGGTGCTATTTATAGTAGCAATAAATGCCAGACAGGGACACGTGTCAAGCGCCTATTGGCCGAGGGGTCACCTCAACTGGTTGGCGCTGGCAACCGCATGTGGCCGCATTTAATGCGGCTGTTGGATGGGACGTCTGTACAGGGTACGGTGATCTGCATGCATGTGAGGCGGATATCTTGTCGAGCGAGATGCCTTTGGCTATAGAGCAGTAGCCGAGGGCTACTCGAACCGATGGCACCCCGGTACCGAGGGCTCACAGTGCCGAGGGCTACTGTTTTCGCCGCTTTCTCCCAGTTTCTTAGTTTGCCTGGAAAACCCATTCTGTGAGAGTTTAGAGCCTTCGGCCAGGGGGTCGAGGGCACCCCTGGTGCGTATTGCGGGCTGCTTGGTAATCTGGACGCCGTGATTTGGGCCTGGTGGGCCTCCTGGGCCTTTTGGGCCTTCATTGGTGTAGTAGGGGTCTGTGGGCCGGGTGTTCCCGGGCCATATACTCCATCAGGAGTCCCTCACTCCTTTTGCCGAAAGGTATTTGAGGGAAAATGAGTAATTTGTGCTTGCCCTTTGATGTTGTCCTGTCGTGATCTCTGAAGTTGGTGAGGAGTTGTCGCTTTTATGTCCCTGCCGAAGGCAGTCCCTCAGTTACCCACATGTCGGGACTTGAGGGCTTGCTTTGTCGTTTGTTGGAATTTCGCTAATTTTGTAATTTAATGATTTTCCCGAGGGGGCCCTCCAGTCCCCCACTCCTTGAGGCACTTTGTAAAGTGGTAAAAAGGAGTAGAGTAGTTGCGTTGCTGTTGTGGGCCGGAGGCTGACGATTTTCGTTTCATTTTGGGGGGATGCCTCGTTAAAAACCTCATTAGGAAAAACCCTGTGGGCAAAAATCCTAATGAGGGAAAAAGAGTGCACCGAATTCCCCCAATGATGAATCGAAAATGTCAAACCTTGGTAAAAAGTGGAGAATAACGGTAATGCCGAAGGCTCGCCGTTTGCTGAGGGCTCATGTATTGATTAGCCGAAGGCTTGCTGTTGATGTCCTGGGGGTGAGGGCCTGATGGATGAGGGCAGCAGTGGAGTTGTTACCGGGGGGTCCACTGTTTGTTGCTGAGTTGGTGATGAAGATACCCGAGGGCTCCCATTACCTGTGTGCCCTGGGTTATCCGTCAATGAGGCAATTCCCCGGGGGCTACTCGGTTTCTACAGGCTATCCCCGAGGGGTGCCCTGATATGAAGCCTTGGGCTTCTGAAGGAGTGATCCCGAAGGCGTCTGTGTACCCGGAGGGGCACAATCCGGGGCCCCTCCGGGTATGTGTACCCGGTGGCTCCCCTTGATGAAGTGAAGTGAAGTAGAAAACCCGGGGGCTTCCAGAATATAGCCGTTGGAAATATAGTCGTTGGAATATGTAGCGTCAGATTTATAGCCGTTGGGGGGGGGGTACACGTGCAGTGTAGCCGTTGGCTGCTATAACACCGCCCCCGAGTATTTGTACTGTACCAAATTATGTATTGAACCTTGAGAAATGTATAAAAGCATTTTTACGTGATTGTAAATTTTTATCATTTCTATTACGTGAATAGTAAAATTCACGTGGGGCCCACACCGGATGTGGGGCCGCCCAATATTTTTGGGACCACATATTATATTAATCTTGGACTAGATAATATGTATATGGTGGTGGATATCCTAATTGGGCCATGACAATGGCACAAGGTTGACCGGTTGGTCAAACGGGCTAAATTATCGGTATCGGCAATTTATCAGATAACAACCCAAATAGGGATTCCGAGAACCTATAAATTAAAGTTGGGGATTTCATAATGATTCTAAGGCCCAATAAGGATTGGGAACGAGTGTTATATTTTATTTGACCCGATAAAATAAAATATACTTAAAACAGTCCGGAAAATACAACTTTCGGGACCGATTGTACACTCGGGTACACAAAGGGTTGACCTCCCACATGAGTGGGGGCCAACCCACGTCCTTGGTCTGGAAAATAGCAAGGGGATCCGCATCATAGAGCTGAGAATTGGCTGGGGAAGTGATTGGGAGACCAATCAATATGAGGGTGGGACCTTTGCCATATGATTTGGTGAGAAATGCCAAAATGGCATCCTCAATCACCCCTCACCCCATATGCTCGGTTCAATCATCCAAGGAAGGGAGAGAAACTCTGAAAATACTCCATTTCCTCATCCTTTCACGCACCAAGAACAAAGGACGAAGAAGGAGGGGAAAAGAGAAGAGAAAAGGTTGTTTTGGAGAGGAAAACTTGTGTTTAGCAAGGTAAGGACTCCATTAACCCCATTTCGTTTTCTTTAATCATCTTATATGATTATTCAATCATATTTCACACCCTAGGATTGTTCTACACGTTGGGATGTGTAGGAAGAGGGGTTGGAAGGTGGTTCTAAGTCCAAGAACGGACTTAGAAGCCAAAGGACCGGTTCGCCGGAAAATAACCTTTTGAAGGTTATTTATATTACTATGGGTTTTATGATGATAAAACCTTGTTAGTAACTTGTCTAAGGTATTCAAGGAACTTTCACGGAGTTGAAAAGGTCGCCGGAGTTGTCGCCGGAGTTCGTTGAAGTTCGCCGGAGTTTCGTCGGAGCTAAATCGGGAAGGCTAGAACTTCATAAGCTTCATTAAGGTGAGAAGACGGCTTTATGCTTTATAACTTTTGCGTGAGGCATGAGATTACCTAAAGTAATCAAGGATATGTTTTGTGGAATGATTAAAGATAATCAAGTATTTGCTTATGCCATGATTTTGCATAAAACATAGTTGAAAAGCATGTTATGTACGTTTGGTGATTAAAAATGTGGTAACATATTTTGTGTGATGATACAGGGATCCAAAATGGTATTTTTGGATCAAGTACATCAAGAAGTATATGTGTATAAAATTTCAAGTTAATCGGACTCCGTTTGGGGGGTCAAAAGGGGCGTTGACCGTTAAGTCAACTGCCATACCCGACCGGGTATTGACACATACCCGACCGGGTATTTGCTGAAAAAATTGCCCAGGGGGCTACTGTCTCCTATACCCGATCGCGTATAGGTATATACTCGATCGAGTATACATGGAAAATTAGCTTTGGGGGCTACCGCCTCCTGTACTCGACCGAGTATGGGAAGATACTCGATCGAGTATTGGTTTATGCTCAAAACGGGTAGTTTTGAGCGGGTTAATGTGGGCCGTTCAGGTGGGACCCGCCCACATTGGTTCCTAAGGATGGTTATATGACTATAGGGCTAGGTATTGTCCTTAGTTGAAGGAACGAAAGGTTAGCCATATCCAGGTTAGGGTTTGGTAAGGATTTAGTTTGGGGTTGAGTATCCCCGGGACATTAGATGATCCTGAAACTCGGTTGGGGTTGAGCATCCCCGGGACTATAAATGATCCTGAAACTCGGTTGGGGTTGAGCATCCCCGGGACATTAAATGATTCTGAAACTCGGTTGGGGTTGAGCATCCCCGGGACCATACATGATCCTGACACTCGGTTGGGGTTGAGCATCCCCGGGACTACAATGATCCTGAAACTCGGTTGGGGTTGAGCATCCCCGGAACATTTAATGATCCTGAAACTCGGTTGGGGTTGAGTATCCCCGGGATGCTAAGTGCTCCCAAAACTCGGTAGGATATTATGAATGTAGAATGTAGCTGGCGAGCTAGGCATTCGGGAAAAGGGTGAGAAAGGTCAGGTAAGAACTTTATCTCTAAAAGACTCTTTGAATGAAATGACCTACGGGTCGAGTATCTTACATATATATATACAGTATGTATCATCGGATGAATGAGTCACATATATATATATACATGTATCACCCTATTTTTGGGTCTCGTGTCTGAAACATTAGTTATTCTACATATAGCCTGCTTGTCACTAGTACTTCTATGGAGTACTGACCCCTCCGGGGGCCCTCACATTTTTCAGGTTGAGGCTAGAGTCCTACTACTGCACCTTTGCCTAGGGTGATTGATCGAGAAGGAAGACGTGGTTCGTGCTTCCATTCTTATTTCAAATGTATAAACCGCTCATGGATTTTTGAACAATATTTTCATTAAAACAGTTGGGGGCCTGCGTGCCCGTGTTTGCCACGTGTGGCTAAGTATCAAACATTTTATTATTTTCCGCATTTGTTTTATTATGATATTGATGTTGATTGTATGTGTTTACTAATCGGTTTGGCAATAGAATCAATCGGACGCCTTGTACAACTCAATAGGGATGAACTGTTGTTGTTCTTATCGGGTTGTACGACGATTGTCTACGTAGCTCGGATGCGGTCCGGGGCGTGACAATTAAGTGGTATCAGAGCCATCGATTTCTAAACTATATAATTAACCTCTCAATATGGTTATCCTAAAAAAGTTTTGAATAAAACCATGAGCAACAGTTTTTGTACTTAAGGAACCGTTGGAAACCAAGTTATTGACCTCTTATTGTTAAGACGGTACCCTTAACAGTTTGTTGGCCATAATGTTGGACCAAGTGGTGTCTTTCGTACTAATCCGTCAATTGACATTGAAACGAGTCTAATGACTCATTCCTTATTTCTTTCATAAATGGAGGGTGGACGCAGGATAACTAGGAGGAACCCGACTGGGCATGTGCCGGGGGCCACCGGGCATGCCACTCGGGCGGAATCACGGACCTCTAGGGGTAGAGGCCGGGGCCAAAGCCGAGGAGGAGGCCGAGGCAGGGGTCGTGGGCGTTCTACCACGCCGACGACAAGTAGCACACGCGTCGGTTCTGTGCACCCGTCATGGGCCACCGAACCGGACGACTTCACCTATGCTCCAAGCACGGAGCAAGAGGAGACCCCGTACAACGGGGAGGACTTTGAGGAAGAAGAGGAGGATGATGATCCTCACTATGACCGTATGAGTGAGGTACTAGAGTGGTACCTCGAGAATAAAGCAAAGAGGGAGCAGCGGCGCCAAGCTAGACAGGCTAGGCAAACCATGGGGCAGGGAAGCCGGGGTGCTTCTAGTGCTCCATCTGGAGCATTTGGGGGAGACACAATGGTGCGTATCTCCAAGTATCTCAAGGAGGCCAGGGCCTTGGGGTGCAAATCATTTGATGGCAAGGGCGACATATCCGAGGCCGCCGACTGGATTAAGAAGCTGAATGATGCTTCTAGGGATATGCAAATTGGACTCGACGTGAAGTTGAGGGTTGCCACCAGGCTACTAGAAGGGGTAGCTGCTGTATGGTGGGAAGGCGTGGAAGGAAAGTTCCACGGTGAGGCCACTTGGGAGAAGTTCGAAGTGGAGTTCTATAATCAGTACTACTCGACTTTCTAAGTCAATCTCAAAAGAAGAGAGTACACAAACCTGAAACAGGAGGATGGTTGCTCGGTGAGGCAATTGGAACAAAGGTTCCGTGACTTGGCCCGATTCATCCCAGAATACTCTTTGGGTGAAAATCGTATGGCCAATCATTTTTGGGATGCTCTACAGTTGGACATCCGTGACCGGGCTACTTACCATCACAACATGACATTTAGCCAGATTGTCGATCAGGGGCTCCTTGGGGAAGCCCAATGGAACGAGAGGAAGTTGAGGGACGCCGAGGAGGCGAAGAAGAGAAGATGGGGAAACTCGGGACCCCAAGTCCACTCCCGGAAGCATCACGCTGGGGGTGGCAATTCATTCAGGGCGCCGGCACCACCGGCGAAAAGGAACAAAGGTTCAGGAGGGCAAGGGCCCAAACCAGGGGGTGTGGGACCACCCAGGTGCGCAAACTGCGGTAAGAACCACGGGGGAAGGTGCAATGAACCACCCCGGTGCTTCAAATGCGGTAGCACGAGCCACCTCAAATCCTCTTGTCCAATGCTGAACGGGGGAGGACCATCGGGAGCCATGGGAGGACCTACGACTAGTAGGGGACGTGCGGGGCCGTCTCAGGCCGGCACGGGAAGGAGCGGACCCACGGCTAGCAACGCCGCGTCCGTTAACCAAGGGAGGACCCAAGCACGGGTGTATGCAATGACCGAGGCTGATGCTCGGGCCAACCCGGACTCCATTGCAGGTAATCTCTTGATTTCACACGTATTTGATCATGTAATTGGTTGCAAAATCTTCAAAAATATGAAGGACCCGATCGGGTACTCCTATAGACCCGACCGGGTATAAGCTATGCTTCGAGTTTGAAGTGTGCACCCGTTCGGGCAGCCAAGGCAGGATGCTTTATTTTTGACATTTCGAGCAATACCCGATCGGGTATGGCTATATACCCGGTCGGGTATGTGTAGATTTTGAGCTTCGAAGTGTGTACTCGATCGAGCGTAGAAGACAGGGAGCTTTAATTTGTGGATTTTGAGTGATACCCGACCGGGTATAGGTATATACCCGACCGGGTATTGACATTTTGCCCGGATTCGAGGCTGGTACTCGACCGAGCAAGGAAGACAGGGGGGTTTCCCCTTAAGAATTCGAGTGATACCCGACCGGGTAGAAGACCCTACCCGACCGGGTATAGGGTAATTCTAGGCTGAAATTTTTTCGTCCGGTCCTTTTCTGTCGGGATGACGAATAGGGTGTCTTACATGACTTATATATGTAGGAACACTAAAGATCAACGATAGGGATGCGAGAATTCTCATCGATACCGGGGCACAATGTTCATTTGTGAGCGAAGCGTTTGCCAAGGGATTGAACATGCCTTTGGTAGCAATGATGCAACCTTTGCTGGTCTCTACGCCATTGGGAGATGATGTAGAGCGGAAACACTACTATCCCTCGTGTAATGTAGGGATAGGGGGGCATTGTCTAACGGGTGACTTTGTGCCGTTAGATATGCTCGAGTTTGATGCTATACTTGGCATGGATTGGCTCGAAAAACACCATGCGAAGGTAGATTGCTACACCAAGGTGTTAGAACTAAAGGATGGAGAAGGGAACACTCTATGCTTCGAGGGAGATAGAGGGAAATTCAACCCTTGTATCATATCGGCCATAAGAGCAAGGCGTATGATGAGGAAAGGGTGTCAAGCATACTTGGCCTATGTCATAGGCAAGGAGGGCAAGGAAAAGAGTCTCACTGAGGTGAGAGTGGTGAGTGAGTACCCAGAAGTTTTCCCTGAAGAACTCCCGGGACTCCCACCAGATCGAGAAATTGAGTTCACCATTGAAGTAGAACCCGGTACAAAACCCATCTCGATTCCTCCATATCGGATGGCACCGGCTGAACTTCAAGAGTTGAAGGTGCAATTGGAAGAACTGCTGGACAGCGGATTCATCACGCCGAGTCATTCACCATGGGGAGCACCAGTACTGTTTGTAAAGAAGAAGGATGGTACACTCAGAATGTGTATCGACTACCGTCAGTTGAACAAGGTCACGATAAAGAACAAATATCCTTTGCCAAGGATCGATGACTTGTTTGATCAACTACGGGGGGCAACGGTGTTCTCTAAGATTGACTTGAGGTCAGGCTACCATCAACTGAAGATCAAGGAGAGTGACATACCCAAAAGTGCATTCCGTACAAGGTATGGTCACTATGAGTTTCTAGTAATGTCGTTTGGGCTTACGAACGCCCCCGCGGCATTCATGGACCTCATGAACCGGGTATTTCACCAATACTTAGACCAGTTCGTCATAGTGTTCATTGATGACATTTTGATATACTCCATGAATGAAGAGGAACACGAAAAACATCTAAGACTTGTGCTTGAAACACTACGGGAGAAGCAACTCTTTGCCAAATTCTCTAAATGTGAATTTTGGCTTGGGGAGATCGGTTTTCTCGGGCATGTGGTATCAGGCTCGGGCATTTCAGTTGATAACTCCAAGATTGAGGCGGTCACTAATTGGGAGAGGCCCAAGAACGTGAAGGAGATAAGGAGTTTCCTCGGTTTAGCGGGGTATTACCGCAAATTCGTGGAAAAATTCTCGATGATAGCATCTCCACTCACGAAGCTCACTAAAAAGGGGGCTAAGTTTGTGTGGGATGACAAGTGTGAGAAGGGGTTTCTTGAGCTAAAGAAACGTTTGACCGAAGCACCAGTGCTTGCCTTGCCCGTGCAAGGGTTAGGGTATGACATCTACAACGATGCTAGCATTCAGGGACTGGGATGTGTACTAATGCAATCGGGGAAGGTAATTGCTTATGCTTCTCGGAAGTTGAGGAAGCATGAAGTAAACTACCCCACACATGATCTGGAGCTAGGTGCTGTGGTATTTGCATTGAAGATTTGGAGGCACTACCTCTACGGGGAGTTGTGTCACATTTACACCGACCACAAGAGCTTGAAGTATGTGTTCACTCAGAAAGAGTTGAACATGAGACAGAGGAGATGGATGGAGTTGATTAAGGATTACAACTTGATCATTGACTATCATCCAGGCAAGGCTAATGTTGTAGCTGATGCACTGAGCAGGAAGAGCTCATCATCAGGGGTTTTACTCACATGCTTACGGGCACTGAGGGCACGCGTGGAGGTATCCACGGGTGGGGCGCTATTGGCCAGATTTGAGGTGAGACCCACCTTATTAGATGAAATCAGAACATGTCAAGGCAATGACGAGGAATTTCAGAAAATCCGGGAACGGATGCTTGTGGGGCCCGTCGAGGGTTTCCGTGAGAGAGAAGATGGACTTCTACTATTCAAGGAACGAGTGTGTGTACCATCGGATGAGGAGCTCCGAAAATCTATCCTTGAGGAGGCTCACTCATCTGCGTATGCCATGCACCCGGGCGGTACAAAGATGTACCGGGACTTGAAGGAAAGCTACTGGTGGTCGGGGATGAAGAGAGAGATTGCAGAATACGTGAGCCGTTGCCTTACTTGTCAACAGGTTAAGGCAGAGCACCAACACCCGGCAGGGTTGTTGCAACCACTTACCATTCCAGAATGGAAGTGGGAGCATGTTACCATGGACTTCGTGGTGGGTCTACCACGGACGGTTAGGAACTACGACGCAGTATGGGTGGTAGTCGATAGGCTGACCAAGAGCACTCATTTCCTACCCATTAACACTACTTATACGCTCGAGCGGTTGGCGAAATTGTACACAGATGAGATTGTGAGACTGCATGAGGTTCCGGTTACTATAGTATCGGATAGAGACCCACGGTTCACATCACGGTTTTGGCCTAAGTTCCAGGAATCCATGGGTACGAAATTGAGGTTTAACACCGCGTTTCATCCCCAAACAGACGGGCAATCTGAACGGGTGATTCAGATCTTGGAGGACATGTTGAGGGCATGTGCCTTGGAGTTCCAGGGGAGCTGGGACAATCAGTTGGCTTTGGTGGAATTCGCCTATAACAACAGTTATCAGGCAAGTATAGGCATGCCTCCATACGAAGCATTGTATGGGAGGAAATGCAGGACACCATTGTGTTGGGACGAGGTCGGCGAGGCTAAGCTTGAGGGCACCGAGTTAGTCGAGATCACTAAGGAGAAGATAAAGGTCATACAGGGTAGGCTCAAGGCTGTCCAAGACCGACAGAAGAGCTATGCTGATAAACGTCGAAGGACGTTGGAGTTTGAGGTTGGTGACGAGGTATTTCTGAGGGTATCACCTTGGAAAGGGATCATCAGGTTCCTCAGTCGGGGTAAGCTGAACCCACGTTACATAGGCCCGTTCAAAATCCTTGAAAGGATTGGGGTTGTAGCTTACCGACTTCAGTTGACTCCAGAGTTGGAAAAAATTCATAATGTATTTCATGTTTCTATGCTCAAGAAGTATGTGCGGGATCCGTCACATATTCTTGAGAAACCACCGCTAGAAATCCGAGAAGACCTACATTATACGGTACAGCCGGTAAAGATCATAGACCGACAGGTAAAGAAGCTAATGAGCAAAGAGGTGCCGATGGTAAAGGTACTTTGGAAGAGTGATCGTGTCGAGGAGCAAACGTGGGAAGTGGAGACCCTAATGAGGGAACAATATCCATTTCTGTTTGATTAGACACATGGATTTCGGGGACGAAATCCCAAATAAGGGGGGTAGAACTTGTAACACCGCCCCCGAGTATTTGTACTGTACCAAATTATGTATTGAACCTTGAGAAATGTATAAAAGCATTTTTACGTGATTGTAAATTTTTATCATTTCTATTACGTGAATAGTAAAATTCACGTGGGGCCCACACCGGATGTGGGGCCGCCCAATATTATCGGGACCACATATTATATTAATCTTGGACTAGATAATATGTATATGGTGGTGGATATCCTAATTGGGCCATGACAATGGCACAAGGTTGACCGGTTGGTCAAACGGGCTAAATTATCGGTATCGACAATTTATCAGATAACAGCCCAAAAAGGGATTCCGAGAACCTATAAATTAAAGTTGGGGATTTCATAATGATTCTAAGGCCCAATAAGGATTGGGAACGAGTGTTATATTTATTTGACCCGATAAAATAAAATATACTTAAAACAGTCCGGAAAATACAACTTTCGGGACCGATTGTACACTCGGGTACACAAAGGGTTGACCTCCCACATGAGTGGGGGCCAACCCACGTCCTTGGTCTGGAAAATAGCAAGGGGAGCCGCATCATAGAGCTGAGAATTGGCTGGGGAAGTGATTGGGAGACCAATCAATATGAGGGTGGGACCTTTGCCATATGATTTGGTGAGAAATGCCAAAATGGCATCCTCAATCACCCCTCACCCCATATGCTCGGTTCAATCATCCAAGGAAGGGAGAGAAACTCTGAAAATACTCCATTTCCTCATCCTTTCACGCACCAAGAACAAAGGAGGAAGAAGGAGGGGAAAAGAGAAGAGAAAAGGTTGTTTTGGAGAGGAAAACTTGTGTTTAGCAAGGTAAGGACTCCATTAACCCCATTTCGTTTTCTTTAATCATCTTATATGATTATTCAATCATATTTCACACCCTAGGATTGTTCTACACGTTGGGATGTGTAGGAAGAGGGGTTGGAAGGTGGTTCTAAGTCCAAGAACGGACTTAGAAGCCAAAGGACCGGTTCGCCGGAAAATAACCTTTTGAAGGTTATTTATATTACTATGGGTTTTATGATGATAAAAACTTGTTAGTAACTTGTCTAAGGTATTCAAGGAACTTTCACGGAGTTGAAAAGGTCGCCGGAGTTGTCGCCGGAGTTTCGTCGGAGCTAAATCGGGAAGGCTAGAACTTCATAAGCTTCATTAAGGTGAGAAGACGGCTTTATGATTTATAACTTTTGCGTGAGGAATGAGATTACCTAAAGTAATCAAGGATATGTTTTGTGGAATGATTAAAGATAATCAAGTATTTGCTTATGCCATGATTTTGCATAAAACATAGTTGAAAAGAATGTTATGTACGTTTGGTGATTAAAAACGTGGTAACATATTTTGTGTGATGATCCAGGGATCCAAAATGGTATTTTTGGATCAAGGACATCAAGAAGTATATGTGTATAAAATTTCAAGTTAATCGGACTCCGTTTGGGGGGTCAAAAGGGGCGTTGACCGCTAAGTCAACTGCCATACCCGACCGGGTATTGACACATACCCGACCGGGTATTTGCTGAAAAAATTGCCCAGGGGGCTACTGTCTCCTATACCCGATCGAGTATAGGTATATACTCGATCGAGTATACATGGAAAATTAGCTTTGGGGGCTACCGCCTCCTGTACTCGACCGAGTATGGGAAGATACTCGATCGAGTATTGGTTTATGCTCAAAACGGGCAGTTTTGAGCGGGTTAATGTGGGCCGTTCAGGTGGGACCCGCCCACATTGGTTCCTAAGGATGGTTATATGACTATAGGGCTAGGTATTGTCCATAGTTGAAGGAACGAAAGGTTAGCCATATCCAGGTTAGGGTTTGGTAAGGATTTAGTTTGGGGTTGAGTATCCCCGGGACATTAGATGATCCTGAAACTCGGTTGGGGTTGAGCATCCCCGGGACTATAAATGATCCTGAAACTCGGTTGGGGTTGAGCATCCCCGGGACATTAAATGATTCTGAAACTCGGTTGGGGTTGAGCATCCCCGGGACCATACATGATCCTGAAACTCGGTTGGGGTTGAGCATCCCCGGGACTACAATGATCCTGAAACTCGGTTGGGGTTGAGCATCCCCGGAACATTTAATGATCCTGAAACTCGGTTGGGGTTGAGTATCCCCGGGATGCTAAGTGCTCCCAAAACTCGGTAGGATATTATGAATGTAGAATGTAGCTGGCGAGCTAGGCATTCGGGAAAAGGGTGAGAAAGGTCAGGTAAGAACTTTATCTCTAAAAGACTCTTTGAATGAAATGACCTACGGGTCGAGTATCTTACATATATATATACAGTATGTATCATCGGATGAATGAGTCACATATATATATACATGTATCACCCTATTTTTGGGTCTCGTGTCTGAAACATTAGTTATTCTACATATAGCCTGCTTGTCACTAGTACTTCTATGGAGTACTGACCCCTCCGGGGGCCCTCACATTTTTCAGGTTGAGGCTAGAGTCCTACTACCAGCACCTTTGCCTAGGGTGATTGATCGAGAAGGAAGACGTGGTTCGTGCTTCCATTCTTATTTCAAATGTATAAACCGCTCATGGATTTTTGAACAATATTTTCATTAAAACAGTTGGGGGCCTGCGTGCCCGTGTTTGCCACGTGTGGCTAAGTATCAAACATTTTATTATTTTCCGCATTTGTTTTATTATGATATTGATGTTGATTGTATGTGTTTACTAATCGGTTTGGCAATAGAATCAATCGGACGCCTTGTACAACTCAATAGGGATGAACTGTTGTTGTTCTTATCGGGTTGTACGGCGGTTGTCTACGTAGCTCGGATGCGGTCTGCGGCGTGACAGCTGCTCGTGGGCGGGCGTCACCGGTTGGGTGAAACGACGGTGCGTAATGATGGCTTTGGCTGCTGGGAGCCCGGATCTCGGCCCAAGCCCGGATCTGGGAGCCTATAAATACCCCAAGCCAGAGCCATTCCTCCTTTACGCATCCACATCCCTAGCGAAGCTCTACAAAAAATTCTAGAGAGAGAAACTCAAGCCTTCGGTCAAAAACTCAGCTTTCAGAGGTCAGTTCTCCTTCCGCCCTTAGCTCCATTTGAGTATTTAGCTTTTGGCCTTAGGGTTAGTCTTTAGGACCCTTCAGGAACCACCTTTGTACGAGTTTCCCGACCCCTCGCCCTTTAGAAAAATGTCGTCAGCTAGTGATTCCCAAGACATCTCCGGAGAGGCTTCAGTGAACGTTGAAGTGCCATCTGACGTGGAATCCTCGAGCGAGCAGCTCTCGGTCATCGATGACAGGGCCGTAGCCGAGGCGGTACAGGGTGACCTTCAACTTGAGCTCGAGGCCGAAGACTTCGAGCAGGTGAACGCGGATGAGGAGCTCGCTATCGCCTGTCAGGTGGCCGAGGACGAGGCCCAGAAGGAGGGCCTGAAGGTGACTGTAGCTATCCCTCCCCCTCGGTGTGGTACTGAAGCTGGGAGCTCCCGGCCTATAGACGCTGTACCCCTCAGTGTGGCCCCAGGACAGAAGAGAAAGAAGGCGAGGATGGCTCCGAAGAAGAAGCAAGCTGCCGTCGACGCTGGCCATCCACTGGGACTCCCCGAGGGCTATTCTTTCCTGAATACGGCCGCCTTGGAGGTCAAGAATAAAGCTACCCGAGGGGAAATGATGGCGGTACAATTTTTGGTAGGGCCTTCGGCGCAAGTGGTAGAGCCAAAGCCGGATGACGTGCTCCTTCGTGCCCCCGACGGCTGCTTTGCCGTACATCTGCTTTCGGTGGAGCTGGGTCTCAGGTTTCCCCTTCATCCTTTCATGTTGGAGTACCTACGCTTTGTCAAGCTAGCCCCCTGCCAGTTGACCCCAAACAGTCACTCATATCTGGCAGGGTTCCTGTCACTGTGCCTCAACCGAAGGGTCCCCCTACCCTGGAGCAATTCTTCCTGTCATTCAATTTATGCCGGGGGGGGGGGGGGGGCATTCGAACACCGGGGGCTATGGTAATCTGCAGCAGCTCCCGAAGTTCAGGATCTTTGACGAGGCGCCTTCGTCTCACAAGGGGTGGAAAGACAAGTTCTGCTATATCCGGTTGGCCGAGAACCCCTTCTCCGCCCCGCTTGGTGACAGGTTTCGGCGGCACCCGAAGGCAGAAGGGTATGCCCTCGAAAAGAATGGGCGGGTGTTGTCCAAGAAGCCGGAGGGTTCCGATAAACATGTGTCCATCAAAGGCGCTACGCTCTCCAGTGAGTTGTACAAGCTCGGCTTCCGTCGGTACCGGCTGATGGGGGAGAAGGAGGAAGGCTACCCCATGATTGACCGCGTATATGAGAGTGCTGAAGGTTGTTGTAATGCCGAAGGCTTCATTTCTCATACTTAGAAAAATTTCTTCCCCCTTTTTATTTTTTGCTTTGCTGTAATAGTGAACTAACCCTTGTGTGCCTTCTTGTGTTTCAGGACCAGACATGGACGCTCGGAACCTGGTTAAGCTGAAGAGGCAACTTGCCCGGGAGGAGCAGAAGAAGGAGGCCCCCGCACAGCAGAGGGCGGTCGATGAGATCTTCCCCAAGGCGGGAGCGGCCGAAGAGGCCAAGGAGGCGGGGCCCGTACCGGAGGCCGCCGTTGGGGGCTCCCCCGGTCTGGAGCCGAAGAGAAAAAGGCATGGGAAGGACCCGGCACAACCGGAGGGGAAGAAGAAGAAGAAGGGGGCCCCGGAGTCGAAGGAAGCCCCTGTTGTGGTCGTAGACGAATCTTCTCCTCCCAAGCCTTCGGGTCAAGCCACTGATCTGACATGGCCCCTGGACAAAGTCCAATTCTCCATTACGAAGGGGACTGCTATCATGCACGGGACCCTGAACCCGAAGGAGTTTTTGAGGGGTACCACCCCTCCGACCGACAAGTCCGTGCTCTCCCGTCAGGCCGACGATGTCCTCTGCTCCAAGGTTCTGATGGCCTCGGTTACGGTAAGTTTCCTTCCCCCTCCTCTGTAGATAACTTCATTCTTTACATGAGTAGTGGCTAATCCTCCGGTAATTCATGTCTGCTTTCAGGCGAGCCTTGGCCTTGGCGAGCTGGTCCAGAGGATAGAACAGCACGACTTGGAGAAGAAGAAGGCCGCTGAAGCACTGGCCGAGGCCCGAAGGCAGCTCAAGGAGGCCGAGGACGCTCGCAAATCTGAGCAAGAGGCTTTCAAAGACATCCTCGAGGGCTCCAAGACGGTGGCCAGGGCCGAAGGTAAAGCAGAGGCGGAGAAGGCTGCGGCAGATGCTGCCAAGAAAGCTGCGGAGGATGCCGAGGAGGCCCGGATCAAAGCTGTCGCCGAAGCCCGGGAGGATGCTGTTGCCACTTTTGCCGAGGAGGGATGGAAAGCCGAAGGCCGGCAGAAATGGGTGGCTTCGGTGGTGGAAGCTTCGGTGGACGAATGGGTGAAAGGCCCAGGCGCCATGTGGTTGGCCCGAAAGGGGAAGGAGTATTATGACGGGGGTGAGTACTTTACTCAGGCCCTCGTATATCGAAGGCTGTCCCGGCATTTTGGGGTGGACCCGAAGGCCTTTGATCCGGCATCCTATGGTCTTCCTCCCCTTCAGCCAGACCCCAGGGTCCCCCTCCCTGAAGGTATTGCGAGGCCTGATCTGGAAGACTCCCTCCTGATGGCCGAGGGCAGTGATGAAGAGGAGGAAATTGGAGATGATGCTGCGTCGAAGCCTGCAGTAGAGGACGCCTCCGGGAATGCCGTCGAAGTTGTTGAGTGATTTTATACTTAGGAATGTCTGAACATATTTTGTAATGAACACATTGATCCTTCGGCTTCGGCCTGTTTATAATTTTACACTCACTTCTGTTTTTGATGAATGCATGCTGCCTCCGGGCCCTTCACATTTGAATGCGCCTTATGTTTTGAATGTATGCCTTCTCCTTTTTGAGTGTATGTCTTCTCCTTTTTGAATGTATGTTTTAGGACTTAGAATATTTTCTGACTGTGGCTTGCCCCTGGAAGCCTTCGGTAGTTTGGACTTAGAAAATTTTTCTAAGTGTAGCACAGCATGGGGCCTTCGGGTGTTTGTAGTAACCCAATTCCTAGGACTTAGAAAACTTTCTAAGTGTAGATTTTCCCTTGGGAGCCTTCGGGATACGACATCCCTTCTTGATGTATGAGTATTGGACCGAGGGCCCAATATACAGGACTTAGGAAATTTTTGCGAGTGTAATATGTCACGTAGCCTTCGGCTACTGTGGAGCCCCAACTGAAATATTGATTAGGCCGGGGGCCAATTCTTTAGGACTTAGAAAATTTTCCTCAGTGTTGATTCCTTGTGTACTGTAGCCTTCGATTGATAGGTAGCATTCGGCTATTAGGTCCCTTGAGATGAGGGTGAAATATGTAGGACTTAGAAAATCTTCTAAGTGTAGAGTCTCCCTTGGGAGCCTTCGGGGGATGGCATCCCTCCATGATGTATGAGTAGTTGATCGGGGGGGAAAATATGTAGGACTTAGAAAATATTCTGAGTGTAGATTTTCCCTTGGGAGCCTTCGGGTGATAGGTGCCCTCTGACTCCACATCACTTTGCGAGATGCCCGGGGGCTGCTCATCTAGGACAGAATATTTTTTTTTAGTGTTGTTGTATTGCATGGCCTTCGGCTACCATATTCCCTTGGCTGTAATATTGATTGGGCCGGGGGCCCAATCTTTAGGACTTAGAATTTTTTCAAGTGTTGCTCCCTTGGGAGCCTTCGGGTGATAGGTGCCCTCTGACTCTACATTATTTGGCGAGATGCCCGGGGGCTGCTCATTCAGGACTCAGAATATTTTCCAAGCGTAAATTGATGTTGAATCCTGTTGTTGTGAAGAAAGCCAATGAGGAGTGTGTGCCCTCGGCATACACTTTAAAAGTTGTAGAATTTGACCCTTGTCATGGGGTAAGGGCCCTCGGTACTAGTGCGTAACAGATGCCTTCGGTATTTGTTTGACCGGAGGTGACCAGGCAGTGGACTTAGCCGTCTCTTGATGATATTTGTTTGAGTGGTATCCTTCAGGAAATAGGAGCCTTCAATTACCGGAGGTGTTCCCGTGGGGAGCCCTCGGCATGTTGTGATCTGTTGGAGTGTACTCTTTGATTTCTCGCTGAGTCTACTCCCCTTCACCCCCCCCCCCCCCCCTTTTTTTTGTTTTTTTAGTTGGTGGTGAAGGGAAGGCATCAAGAAACTTGGTTTCTTGGTAAGGCTGGGCCTATTAGGAGACCATCAGAATACACCAATGGCTCTCCTCCCTCGGGTTAACCTTCCGAGTTCCGAGGGGATCAAGGGACGTTTCCTGGGCACAAGATATGGTGGTCCGTAACCTGCCTCCCCTTGGGGGATGGCGCGGAAAGCGCCTCATTTTTGAAAGTCGTCCCCTCGGTGCTAGACATAGTCCGTGGCCTGCCACACCCTTGGGGTGGTGGCGCGGGGAGCGTTTCGGTTTGGAAGTCGAATCCTGGGCATTTCTCGTGCCTGTCATACCCTTGGGGTGATGACGCGGATAGCGTTCCGTTTTTGAAAGTCGAATCCTGGGCATTTCTCATGCCTGTCATACCCTGGGGGTAGTGACGCGGAAAGCGTTTCAAGGAAGGGTTTTCAGTTGCACACTAGTTGCAAATGGCCGGGGGCACTACGTGCCGCCGGCACCGATGGTGGCGCCTTCGGTATATGCGTCCTCGTGGGGTACGTCTTTTAGAAACAACACTTGGTGTTAGTTTCGATGTGTAGCCCTCGGTACTTGGTACCGAGGGGTCTTCTGTAGGAACACTTGGTGTTCTCTTTTCTTGTAGTTGATGGAGGCGTCTACCTTCGGTACTTGGTACCGAAGGGTCTTCAAATGAGACACTTGGTGTTTCCCAACAGATGTTTGGAAGTTGATGGGAGAGCATATCCCTGGCACTGGGTACCGAGGGGTCTTCTGTAGGAACACTTGGCGTTTTGATTGGAGTGTTTGGTGCCGGAGGTGTACCCTCGGCACTGGGTGCCGAAGGGTCTTCTGTAGGAACACTTGGTGTTCTCATCTTTTCTTTTTTGATGTTGAAGGTGGGGATGTACCCTCGACACTGGGTGCCGAGGGGAAATGAAACACATGGCGTTCCTTGTTGTTGGTGATAGGAGTTCCCTCCCTCGGTACTTGGTACCGAGGGGTCTTGACTGAAAACACGTGGTGTTTTTACTGTTGTTGTAGGTGTCGATGGTGTCCGCCCTCGGCACTTGGTGCCGGAGGGGGTTCTTCTCGTGGTGAGGCCTGGGGCCTGTAGTCAGTACGAGGGCTTGATGTCTTGAATGTATCTTCATTCTTCGAAATTGGAAGCCTTGGGCCATAGGATAGTACATTCACTAGTTATGAGGGCTTGGCCGCTCTTACATTATTGATAAAATTTAACTAAGTGGTGTACATTCCAGTGCCTAGGGACTTCTTTCCCGTTGGGGCGTTTGAGCTTGTAGGTCCCAGGCTTGATGATGGCTGCTATGATGTAAGGGCCTTCGAATTTTGGTGCCATTTTTCCTCCCTCGGTTGGTTGGCTGGCTTCCCTCCTCCGGAGGACATAGTCCCCCACTTGGAATTCTCTGGTGCGAACTTTGGCGTTGATGTAGCTTTTGACTTGCCTTCGGTAATTTTCTGCCCGGATGAAGGCCTGCTCCCAGCGTTCTGAAATGAGGTGGAGGTCGAGGGCCATGTTGCTGTCGTTGACCTCGGGGTCGTATTGGATCACCCTTCGGGTGGGAAGGGTGACTTCCGTAGGAGCTTTGGCTTCAAAACCGTAGCAGAGGGAGAAGGGTGTTTCACCTGTTGCTCGCCGAGGGGTGGTGCGGTAGGCCCACAGGATGTTGTGGAGTTCTTCCACCCAACCACCGACCTCGGCCTCCAGCTTCTTTTTGAGGCCCTCGAGCAAGGTCCGGTTGGCATTCTCTACCTGCCCGTTGCCTTGAGGGTAGGCAACGGAGGAGAAGGTGTGTTTGATGCCCCATGCCTCCAGAAGGGCACAGAAGGGGGCTGCCTCAAATTGTGTCCCATTGTCGGAGATGATCTGCTGGGGGACGCCAAACCTTGTGAGGATGTTCTTGAGGACAAAATGACGGCACTTTGCCTCTGTGATACTGGCGAGGGGCTCAGCCTCCACCCACTTGGTAAAGTAGTCGATGGCCACAATGATGTACCTGTTGTTGGAGGTACCCCTCGGCAGAGGGCCCACAAGGTCTATCCCCCATCGAGAAAAAGGGACAGATGTGCTGATGGGGGCATAGTTGACCGCTGGCTTGCCGGGGGCTTTCTGGAAATGTTGACACGCGGTGCACCTCCGGGCAAGGTCAGCACAATCTCTGGCCACGGTTGGCCAGAAGTAGCCCTGGAGAATGAGCCTTCGGGACATGGAGAAGGGTCCCTGGTGAGCTGAGCAAGTGCCACTGTGCACTTCCTCCATTGCGACCTCGGCCTCATCTTGATGAAGGCATCGAAGTAGCGTGCCATTGTAAGATCGTTTGTAGAGCCTCCCATCCTCGATGGTGTAGCTAGGAGCCCTCAGCTTTGCCAGTTTAGCGCGGGTCTCATTCTCGGGTAGCTGCCCCGTGGAGATGAAGGCGGTGATATCTGAGATCCAGTCCTCTTGGCGTTGTATATTCATAACGGGGCTTGCATGGATGCTTGAGAGGCTGAGTTCCTCAATTTTGGCAATTTTGGAGATGTGCTCGAGGGAGTCGGCCGAGAGCTTAGATAATATGTCGGCCTCGGAGTTCTGAGCCCTCGGTATTTGAGTGAGAGAGTGTGCCTCAAACAGCTTGAGCAACTCCTTGGCCGCTTCCTTGTATTGTTTCATTCTTCCCTCCTTGGCCTCATATTCCTCGGAGATTTGGCCAACGACCAACTTGGAGTCGCATTTGATGTGGATCTGCCGAGCCC